CAAAATAATGCAATTGATATATTGAAAATCAAAATAAGACAAACTTCATACTTTTGGGGACCCCTATTGCAATTAACCCTAAAAGTTTTCTACAATTTTTTGCAACCTATTGCACACAGACGAGTTTTATTTGGAAACCGAACAACATAACCGTTCCATTGTGCGTACTTAGTTTTTAAGAAGGTAAGAATTTTGATCTGGGTTAAGTTAAAATGGTACTATTTGATATCCTATGGATATGAAAACACCTAACTATCAAATCAAACATATGATTCATATAATTTCACCTTGTTTGGTGGGTAAACTTTCTCCATGTACCAAGCTGGCCTGTTTTTCAGGTCAATAGGAACCAATTTTATCTTCTCCTGCAGTCCCTGTTCTCCAAAGAAAAGTCAACATATATTTAACAATGTATACTCTGCAAGAACTATGCAAAATTTAACTTGGGGAGAGAGAGATTAAATAAAGCAGAAGCAAGATCAAGAAGAATTCTTGAACCAACCTTATAATTCCGAGTAATCCATACGCGTTGTGCATATGGGCATATGTAAGCTGTATACAGCCTGCAATCATTAAAATGTATAAGGGCAAATGTAAGTTTACAAAACGAGTTCTTACAAATGCAAAAAGGTTGATATGGGCATTCCCACATACATAAACACATCAATAACAATTAAACCACAAATTTATAAATCAAGTAGCCCCAAAAGAGAAATCCAATTCTTAAACAACCTAGTAGTTCCATCGAAGAGCGCAGGTGGGTCTGAAGTCGAATCGAGGGAAGGTGGAAGAGCCTCTTGCACCCTTGAGAGAGAGAGTTTAATTCAAGAATGAACAAAAATTCAGAAGAAATAAGATTCATATTATAAAAAAAAAAAAAAAAACAAGTTAGTGCAAGTAAAGAAAAACAAAGGAAATCACTTACCCAGTAGCCATTTTTGAGGATGACACTGCTAATCTAGTAGCTCTGGAGAGCTGTAGTGAGTGTGAGTGCGTAAGTAAACGATAGAGTGTGAAGCTTCTGGAATCGATAGAATGTGAAGCTGCTGGAATCGTAATGGACTTGAAGAGTAAAGATCGAGAGAGAAAGCGTAGAAGAGAGACAAGAAAATCAGGAAGACGTCAGACGTGACGAATCAGTAGGAAAGGTTAACGGTAGGATACCGACCGAGAAACATATCTTGATTCCTTCCGTTCCTGTCGTTTCCGATTTTTTTATATGAGTTAAAAAAAATATTAAATAATTTTAGTATGAGTAAAAAATAATTACACAAGACTAAAATATTTTTATTCAATACGTATTAAGAAAAAAATGAATATGAAAGACACTTAATCTCCACCTAATCTAATGCATTGAAAAATTAAGGGTAAATTTGAAAAAAAATATATTAATTATACTTTGATTTCATTAAACGACAAATATTATGGAACAAAAAAAATTGTGTAAAACGACAGACATTTAGGAACGAAAAGAGTAATTATTAGAAAACCATGACAGATCTCTCGATCCTAATATGTTTCGAGAATAATATTTTCCTCAAAAAAAAATAAAATTTAAATGAAACATAAAAATGTTATTAAATTGGTTCTAACTATTTTTTGGAACGAAGTGAAAGGACGGAGAGAGTTTGCTTAAAACTTTTTAAAGTTATTTTTATAACTTTTAAAAGTTAAGTTATAACTTTTAAAAATTACAATTGTTCTACAATCGATCATGATTTTCTTTTGAATAATTGTAAGTTGTAACCTCTCCTTTTAAAGGTGTAATTTTACTATAAAAATGATAACCAACTATATTGATAGTGCTCAAAAATACTCGAGTTAAGTCCAGAACTGTGGATTAGAGGTCCAATGATGGGGGTAATAGAGATATTTAGATTAACATGAGAATAAGGGATGAAGTGGAATCAAAATAATATATAAGTGGTTCACCTTAATTGAAAGATTAAGATTACATTTACAGTAATAGAGACTCTTACTCTTTGAGGTTTATATTACTTGAAGAAGAAGATTTCAGTAAGTTTTCTAGGTTTAGAGTCTTTGTTTACACTATCTTGTGAATATAGATTTGTTCCAAACCTTCTACATAACGAAATAGTGATCTATTTGTACAAGTAATTTATCTAAGATTTTATGTGATTTTCTCATTCCTGTTGTTGATTTTGTGGTCTCCCTTCCTTTGTATTGTATTGTAGTGGTATCTGTCACCTTGACGTAAATCGTGTCCATGATCCATAAACAGAATATGCACTAATATTCCTTTTATCAGAGAGTATGTGTTCATTAGTGACTCCTAAAATTGTCTTCCTGTCCCTTGGATACGTGGCACGACGGGAGATGTTTGGGATTTAAAAAGTACCAAGCTCTTTGTTCTCGAGCTGGACACCGAGCAGGATCATAGTGACTTGGATGTCGTTGGACCCTCTTCTTTGAATTGTGGCCCATTCTTATTGAGGGGTGGGTGGGCAGCGGGTTGGACCCTCTTCCTTGAATTGTGGCCCATTCTTATTGAGGGGTGGGTGGGCAGCGGATGGCCCATTCAACTGCCATGTACCCAAGGGGCTCGTTGGACGTTTTGGGTTTTTTTGATGGACAACCCAAGCTGAAAACTTACCATTATCATATACGATACTGAATTTTTTTTTTTTTGGTATTGTACTTTCATTTATCACATTTGTAAATATTTATATCACTCTAGTAGATAGTTTTATTACTATTGTGGTACCGAAAAAAATAATAAAAATAATTAACACAATAGCAATAAAAACACCTACAATAATAGTAAAAAAAAAATACCTACAAATGTGATAAATCATTCACATAAGTGATAATTTTTTTTATACCGAAAAAAAGTGATAAAAATACTTGCTACAATAATAGTAAAAATACTCACAATAATAATAAAAATACTTATAAATATGATAAATTATTCACAAAAGTTTTAAATTTTTTGATTATAAAATTACCCACAGACTTATAAAAACCCTTATTGAAGTAATAGATTTTAGAGGTACAATACCTAATTTTTTTTTTTTGTAGATACCATAATTAAGTCCCAACTGGTTTTGGGCAATTTTTCTTTTAGTGTGTATTGCCACGTGTCCCATGTCCCATGTCAAGCTCAGAAACAATTTATCCATTTGATTCAATATTAAGATTAATTTAATTTTTATCTACTTTGATTCAATAGCATAAAATTTATTCTAAATCTTATTATTTCCCTCAACAACATCATCTTCCTAGCACAGTTTTCAATATTAAACAACTCAATCAATATATTTCTTAATGATAAACAATTTTACTAATTCATACCTATCTCTTTTTTTTTCCCAATCTCTCTTATTTTCTCTCGATTTTATTTTAATTTTAAATTATATAATTTTAAAAAAATAAATAAATTATTATTTAACATATAGACGTTATACAGCCAATGCTCGATGTTTGGTATTGCATAGTGTCCTCAAAAGTATGAGATTATTGTCGGTCCGTCTATATTAACTTATAAAAATATAAAAATGATGGAGATTAATTTAAATTTTTTTTACTTTGATCCAATTTATAAACTATATCCTAATTTTTTTTCCATTCAAGTACATCATCACCTTTGCACGTTCTCAATGTTTGACAACTTAATCACCACCATCTCCAATATCAACAACCTCAATAATTCATAGTTGCATTTTCTCTCTTCCTTACCTCTCTATTCTCTCCGTCTCTTTAATTTTAAATTTTATAACTAATAGATAAATAAAATATAAATTATTATTTAAAATATAAATATTACATAATCAACGCTCAATTTTTAGTATTGTGGAGTAACTTCAAGTTCGTGGCTATTGATAGTTGACATAAATCCTTCAAATCCATGTATGCAGTTATCAAACATATCTTGGTTTTGAGTTTGATTTTATAATTGATTTGCATATTTATTTAATATTACAGTTAGAAAATTAAATTCTCAACTTATAAAAGTATAATAATAATAATAATAATTGATTTACAAAATTTATCTCAATTCTTTTTTCCCGCTAAAAAAACATTACATTCTCTACATGACCTTCAATGCCAAACAAATCAACAAACACACTCCCTAATGTCAAATAACATCATTAATCCACATCTATCTCTCTCTTCTCTTTCTTGTACCTATATCTAATTTTTTTCTCGAACCATTTTTAATTTTAAACTTCATAATTAAAGAAAAGAGAAAAAAAAAAATCTATTTAAAATATACATATTAAATGACCATTATTTATTTTTTAATATTGTAAAGTATTTTCAAACACGGGATCATTTTCTAGTGTATAAATAAGATGAACTTGAATTTGAATATAAGCCTGAACTTGAGTTTTAAGTTCAAATGTAAGTACAAAGTTCAAATTCAATACTTTTAATGAAATGTTCTAAGCGGAGGGAAGTTTGAGTTTGAACAAAATGCTTAAAAGTCATCACTGAGTCGAAGCCGAACCTTAATCTCTTCGTCAAGGAAAGAGTCACATCTGAACAATTTAGTCTCTTCAATAAATCACATGCAGAAGTGATTAAGATCAGAGCCCATGGACAAACTAGAAAGGAAAGCGCCTAATCAAAGATCAGAAGGTTTTATTCTTGTACATCATGCTCCTGAACTCAATAATTTTATTACTCCACACAAGAAAAAGGGTGTCTAGCGTGCGAGACTTTTGCCACTTTAGGGTCTAAAGAAATTCATATGTGCTCGGCCTTAACCCTTATAGAGAGGCAGAAATTTTCTTAATCCCCATGTCAAAAAAAAACATTCAACTTGTAGACCTGGGAAATTACAATCCAAGAAAATTCTCTAAATCCCACTTGTAGGTAGCATCAGAAATCAGTCCAGAACCAAACTACATCACTATAACAGAAAAAAAAAATAAGTTTTAAAGATATCATACTAGAAGGTTTGACTTTGAATAACTGTAAAATTTTGAACAGACCTAAACATATTGGAAAGAATTCTAGCTGTCTGCAAACCAGTCGGGTTTAAATTCAGAATAAAGTCTTGATTATTCAGTCTTCAATGTCTAACATCCCTTAGGACTGAACTGTTATCCTCAGTTTCATGTCTTACCTTCAACAGCAATATTTTGTATAGATTTGCAAGTGAAAAATCCAACATATGTTATCAATCATAGCTTTTCAAGTTTCATATGCCAATCAGCAGACAGTTACCACCTGTTTTCCCAACGCGTCTTCCTGGCATAATCATCAACTCTACCATCTACGTTAACATCCCCAAAAACGAAGCAATAGATTATTCTTGTTGAAGAAAATATATTTTCCCACACAAATGGGTCAATTTGGTTCAAGTGCATATATTGAAAACGTTTTTAAACTATGTCTTGGCTTCTGCAGAGATACCTCCACCTCCTCTGATTGAAAGCATGGGTCCACGGCATGAGCTGCGACTAATCAAATGGCTGTCTAAGAACAAAACTATCACTGTTATATCGTCATGAAAATGTCTTCTGACCCCTCGATCAATCTTTTTCAGGTCCGAGTATCTCATTTCTCTTTTCTTTGCTGCTTCACGAAGTGCAGCTTTGACAAGTTTTCTGGCAATACCCTGCAAAGGTAAGGAAATATTAGCTTATATCCAAAAGCAACTTCAAGAAATAATGACTTCTAAACATCCTAAACGACACATAAAAAATAGATCTTAGCAATGCACTGTTAAAAGTACTTCTTAGAAGAAATCAACCCTTCCTGCTTAATGTATAACTTAAAGAGAGACAAAAAAAAGATTTGGTTGATGAAGTACACCGAGAAGCTGCAGTCGCCTTAGCCTTTTACCGAATGGATACATAGAAGAATGACATCTAAAACAGGGTAATAGCACAGAATAGCATCACAAGCCATTTTTCCTTGTTGGTCAGAAACATGGCTGATTACAATAACCAACATTGTTACAGATATGAACTCAAAATATATAAATGGAAATCCTACATAACGGGGACAGTCATTGACAATGTCAACTGCCTCTTGATTGCTAAGATGCTCCCATAGGCCATCTGACGCAAATATAAGAAACTGATCTTCAGGGTAGAGCTTCTGCACTAGTATTGATGGTTCAGCTAGTAGGATTGGTTTGTGAAAAGGTTCAGGCAGTCTAAACTTTGACAACAGAGGTTCTCTGTTGAACTCTGCTTTCTTTAAATAGGCATCACCAATGGATCTAGAAACCTGCAATAGTTGAGATCTCTGTTAGAGTAGCAAATCAGATGGTAATGCCCCAAGAAAGGTTCCTCAAATTCTGAAAGAAAAAGCATAATGAACTTATTCACGAAGCCGACTACAATGTGAATAATTGAACTTTCAAACTTTCTCGCTATCAACAACGATAGGTCATTACTTTCAGGAACACATGAAAATCATCACAGGGCCAGTATATTCATACCCAGTATTCATTTTTCAGTGATTCTAACTTATTAGTAGTAATGATCAGAAAAAAAAAACTTATTAGCAGTAGATCCCCCCATTAATGCTAAGATTTTCTATTATAGGACCACATTCGAGCCAAAAGGTTGCTTTTGCCCATGGACTTGCCTTTGGAGTCATCCCATCAAATAAATCTATCCCAAATGGAAGTGTTTCAGTGTTTCCCCTCTAGGCTTGTTAAATCATAAAGACGATACTTACATGTAAAATGAAATTTCCATTACTTGGGTAGTGAGATTTTGGGAAAGGAATAAGGTGACTAATCATGGCAATAGGGCAATAAAAAGGATGGTATGCTTCTGCTACTAAGACCAGAATTTCCAAAATTACCTGGTTCTTGAAAAAGTAATGAGATTAAGTTGGGAAAAACCACGATGCATGTTACAGACTCTATGTTTCGTCAGATTAAAAATTCATAACCATCTGCAAATTTTCAGAGAATGATAATTTTAGGTTCAATAATTTTCATGAAAATGTCACATTTGGATTAAAACTTTCTTGTTAATTGAGTATCTTACGCATGATATAGAGAAGATGCTTATGTATAAGGAGGAAAATGAAATTCTGAGCAAATATATAGATATCGATACAAAAGAGAAATAAATCTTAAAGACATCACCTGAATAAGGCCCTTCACACGCCAAACCTTGTGCTTTAACACTACAATCTGTGGATCATCCGGATGCAATGAATGCAATTCCTCTCTCACACATTTCAAACTTGCATTATGCTCTGTTGATAATTGAATGGCTTTGACCTCTTTGACAGCCCTTTCCAATCTTCCTAAAACCACACGAGAATCGCCAGCATTTGCAATGTATAGCAGTCCACTACATATTATACCCACCAAGCAACACGACCCCACCGATGCAATTTGTGGCTTAATTGACCATTGTTTCTTTACTAAAGAAAGGAACTCCTCTTCTGTAGCCAAAAATGCCTTGTTTATAACATCAGCTGACATTCCTTGATTTTCTGATGTAAATTCTGCATCATGAATAGCTGCTGTAAAGTCAGTGAAAATATGCATTAGCAAAATCCAAAACTATACATTAAGATAAGTAAAATTGAAAAGAGAGCATTTTTTAGTGGGAGGATGGAACTAAGGCTGAGTCCATGTTAAAAATAGTTTGATCACTTTCCCAGGCAATCATCCATGAAAAACAACATGCAATAGGGACTAGCTCTGACAACTATCTTTTATTACAACGATTCTCTACTTTTCACGAACCAACTCACACGGGAAGACCCAACAGCTAGGCTCAAAGGCCGTGACTTGTGGGAGAAGCAGAATCAATTCCTTTACCACATAGCCCAGGTTCTAATAAATAAGAGTGGACCCACAAGAATTGATTCCACCTCTCTCACAAGTTGCAACTTTTGGGACAAGTGGTGGGTCTTCCCATGTCACCAAATTAAAGCTTCCACTCAATGATCAAGAAAGCAGGTTACTTCCAGCAAGTAACCTGCTTGCTTCCACTCGCTCATGATGGCTTGGATGCAATCTTACAGCAAAAATTCCTTGGAATTCCTTGAAAGCCTCAAAGTAAATCAAAATTTTCCATTGAGACAACTTCATGGATAATTTGATAAGTGGCATTTGTAACACAAGGGAACTGTTTGGCCTGAGATTAAAAAGAATTCCAAACAAAATTCATGTTTCCAACCCCAAGCAGTTGGATCATGGTATTGCTGAACAAGACGAGTACACACCAGAGATAGTCCCTTTAACTCTACTTCCAAAATTCCATCATTAATCAGCGGCAAGCATACAAGTGCTCCTTTCATCATCTTATAGTTTTCTGTACATTAGCGATTTGTTTGACAGGGGCAAAAGAAAATAGGGGACATTATGCTACACCATAACTTCTGCCAGAGTGAAACCATTAGAGCGAGAAAGCCAGATATTACCCCAGTAGGATAGTATAGATGACTCCATAATGATGGGATATGCTTTTTTCTTATATCATTGACACTAACACAGTCAAATTCTTGCCAACTATTCCCATCTTGTACACAATCTATACATCCATACTATTCCAACAGAAAGTGCTAACAAATTCCAATTCGATATTATGGTTGGAAACTTGCTCTTCGAATATGCTTCAACTTATCAAAAGTAGCTTTAGATCAGAAAGCTTCTAAGAATCCATGTATTCTTCTTCTTCAAGTGTCATTACAGATTCTCACTCTTGACCATGTCTGAATTCCAACTAAAATAACTACTTAGTGGAAGCAGCATTGAGCCACAGAAATACAATTGACAAGATCAGTATTACAGTAACAACAATGCAATCTTTATCAGCCAATATGAACACTAATGTCTGTATGAAGCAAAATCTATTACACATTCTCCTCCTTAAGGAAAATAATAACTTATTCAAGTAGAAGGTTAGTGATAGGTGGTTAAACTAAAAACTGATCAGATTGATATAATAAAAATCTAAGAAAAGCATAACTAAAAATACATACCATGAAAAAGGAACTATTTGCCAAAAAGAAAAAAAAACATTCACTTATTACCAAGGCTGCCAGAGGAAGAAAAACATACTCTTGATGTTATTGAAAAGGCGGTCATTGATGAACCTGGAAGCTTCAGGACCTCCATGGCCATCATAAATTCCAACAAATGTCCCTTGATGACCAGACTCAACCGAGCTCATCAATCCTGATTCAAGTTGACTATGATCTTCCACAATACTATTGGCTTGAATAACGGCCATTGAAAATTCTCCATTAACATGGTTTCCTGAATCTTTATACCACCACAACCCATCAACCCGGCCGCTTGTATCACTGCCTCTAGACCCTCTACCACTATTTTCGCCTTCACTCTGAACAGATGGCTTCCAACATGGGGACACAATCTTCCTCAATGTAGTTGTCACCATCCCTTTACATATTATGATCACCCAAATGAACCAGCAATCAAAATACTCGTAAAATCAATGTAAACACAAAAACCCAATCCGTCTTTTAATCCTTTTCTGTCCTTATTTTCCAAACCCACATCACAATTTCCAAACTTTATGCATGCATCAATGAATGCACAGACCACTAATCTGTACATTTGCCAAAAACAACAAACCAATAAATAGCTGTATGCAGGAATAGCATTATCTGTACATGTTAAAAAACAAGAAACCAACTAATGGGCATGTGCAATTTTTCCGCATTAGGCCCAGACCTAACACATTAGACACAGTTCGGAGCATATACGTATATAGATATCTATCTATACACACATACAGAGAAGAAAAAAACACACACACACACCCGGAGGGTGGGGGGGATTGTATAGCATACCTTAAATCAAAACTTCAATTAATGGTGCTAGCAGGAAGCCGCATTATTGGATTGATTGATAACAACTGGTGTTTTTTGTTTGAAAATTTTTCAGAATGTTGAAAAGAGTCGATCTGGGGTAGACACAGAGAGAGAGAGAGAGAGAGAGAGAAATTGGTATGTTGTTAAAGTTTTTCTTTGTTGTGAAGAAAGAGACGACTATATATAATACAAAACACAATTCTCTGTGGGCGTATTGGGTTTTCCTTTCAGCTTTTGATTGCTGGAGAGTTTTGACCCTTGACCACCAACAGACCACACTTTTAGGCAACTTTTTCTCATCTTACCCCACTCCTTTCTGGCTTCCTTTATTTGCACTCGTCTTTTGGCTCCATTGAGGGTGTCAATGTCACCCTCGAACACGATACGAATACAGATTTTAAAATTAAAATGATTAACAAAAATACATAAAAACACATTAAATTATTTTTTTTGAATGTCTTAGACATGAATTAAAATGACTTAATTTGAATACACTAACACGAGAATCGTACAACACGACACGAACTAACACTCCTCCACCTCCTCCTCTTTTTCTTCTTTTTTCAAACAGTGTTATTTATATCATACTCAGGTTATATAGGTTATATTCGTATAACCCATTAACAAAAGTATAGGATCACGACCCATATTTTTTTAATTTAAATTTATTAGATTTTAAGTTGTTATAAACTAAAAATATCATTATTTCAGTTCGACCAACTCAAAAATCTTTAATTTTACAATAATTCATACAATAATAGATTAATTAAAAAAAAATAACTTAAACATTTATTTCCCTTATAATGCTAATTAAATGAGAATATTTGTAGTTTTAGATACACTTGAGAACAATATAGTATCTTATTGAATTAGGATCAACTCGTATTAGTTCTCATTGAGTTATAAAATGAACTCAACTTGACCAGATATAAATGTTGTTAATAATTTTGCTTAGTTTAAACAATGGTTCAGTTAATCGAAGATCCCTTAGATTCAAATGTAATTTTTTAAAATTTGTTTAATATATTATTGGTGCAAGTCAAACTTGCGGATTATATTCTCTTTTTTAATGAATTCGAAAATGAACGGTGAAAAAAATAAAATCCATCAATATTTTGCAATCAAATTTTGAATCAGATCGATTGAAAAATCAATTTAAATCTGTTCAGTTGACAAACCTAATTCAAAGAAATATTTTCATGGATGGGTCAAGGCTCATCACTAGCAATAAGAAAATTCTCATTTTTGGGGAACATTTTCATGGATGGGTCAAGACTCATCACTAGCAATAAGAAAATTCTCATTTTTGGGGAACATTCACCACTTACTGCTTACTTGTGACTAATTGTAACACTACAAATACTATACCCTCCTACTTCAACTTTACAAAAAGCAGTAGCAATCATTCCTTTGGTCAAAATTAACAAATTTTGCTGTCCTAAGTGCCTGCCTTGACTTAAAGAATCCACCAATTTAAGGTCCATCCACTTTTGTATCCTTACAACACTACTTGATTTCCAAAGCATGCTCATCACATACAAATAGAACACCTTGATGCAATTCACCAAGAAAAAAGAATTTGAATCCTTTCTAATATATGTCTCCTTCCCTTTTTGTTGATGGTAGATTATCCACCATGCATAAACAGAATCATTCCTTTCTAATAAGTGTATCCTTCCATCAAGTGTGCAATCCGCATATACTTGTGTTAGAAATTCCCTGAATTGGTTTGCCATTTCCATAAAAGATATTCAGTTTTGCTAATCTACCGGTATACTCCTAATTTGGAGCATACATTTCACTACACAAACAAGAAACTTATATTCTAAAAAATAAAAAAATAGAAGGGAAAAGTAACAGGAAGTTCACAGCTAAACAAGAGCATTTTACTTGTCTTGGCAAGCAGAATGATCAAAACAATTATAACAAATTCCTATAAAAAAAACAATTATAACAAATGAGGTGAATAAAAGAATCAAGAGATTTCTTATACTTTCTCCTCACTACACAATCTTAAGAAACAAACTGAGTAGCATACTTGTATTAACACTGATCACAGCCAATCAGTCCAGCAAGAATTGTCGGGCAGAATCTTGGCTGGCAAGAAGGTCAAAAGGTTTGCCCAAGGTGTCTTTCAGAATTGTGATCTGACCTTCTTTAAGAAGTATATCTTCATCCAGGCCCTCTATCTTCTTCTTCATCATGTTAATTTCAGTATTCAACAACATATTCTTCTCACTGTACTGCTTCACCTCCTGCCACATCAAATCTCTCTCCTCTGCTACTTTTGGTAGTATCCCCCTCACAATAACCAATTCCCTTGTACAGTCTTGCAAGTCATTTTGAATTTTGTGCATAGTCTCATCCTTCTTAATCATCTAGTAGACACAAGCAAAAAGCAAAGTAGATAGTTAAGCAAGCAAAGACATGTTGCAATCAGCGAAGGTATTCGCAAGAATAAAAACCAAGATAACCAATTTGTTGCATCGTTAGGCTTGCATCATGATATAAAAGATTCGTAGGGACAAATTAAATTTGACCATTCTATATTATGACTGATAACCCATTTGAAAACACAAAAATATGTCACAGCACTCCCAACTCAATTAGAAACCATCAGACAGAAACATAAGCAATGCCAAACATTATCATTATTCTGACTGACAGAAATTGAGTTATATCAAAACCAAAAACTTAGATGAATTGGTGAAAAATTAAAGGATCCAAAACTATAAATGCCGCAAACAATTTGTATTACATGCTGCAAATTTTGATTCCATCTTATATGCTTATTTCAGATAAGCTCAATATAGATAGATGTTTTTCCTCAACTGCCTACACAACACCATCATTCTAAGAGAAAAAAAAACCGTTAAAAATTTTAATCAAGTGTGCCAATCTGTGTACACTATAAGATCACAACTCCCCGGTTCATTTTCTCATGTGCACATGCTGTAAGACACCTGCCCCTTAAAAAAAGGAAAAGGAAAAAGAACCCCCACACTAGCCAGTAGCCATTGAATGTCTTGCTAAGCATGCCCATTATTCCTCTATTATAAGGAAACACATACAAGTAACGCTTGCCATAGTTAAATCAATTTGCACACATACACATAAAGCTTATGTGAAATGCATACGGTTGAATGATATCTTAGCATGTAAGAGGAAATAATGAAATCAAAGGCTTGCCTGAAGCTCAAGATCTTTCATCTTGTGGGTCGCACAAGTAAGTCTATCCATGGCATTTTGCACTTCACATTTTAGAATGTCATTGCCTCTACAAGATGTTGCCAGCTCAGCTTGAAGTTGTTCCATATCTAGCTCTTTGGAGTATAGTTTCTCTCGCAACAAACTCGTCAGTAAACTTTCTGCTTTAAGCTCTGATCTTATTATGTCCTGTTTTAAGTAAAACAGAACGTCAAAAAAAACACTAAAATGCGAATCCAGAAAAATATCAGCGTGAAAGAACATAAGGAATAAATAAAAAATGTTAGCATCATTTTACCTCAGATCTTTGATCATTCTGTCGGCCTAACCCATCCCCCAACTTATGCAACTGAGATTCTCCCGAGTTGCAATAAGACTTTTCGTGCAGTGCAGTGGAAATGGTCTGTAAACTCCTTGTTAGATTTTCTGTAGCCCGCTTGAAACCCTGTAGTTTCACATCAGATTCGATGAAAAAGCATCCATCTAAGCCATTCTTTATTTGTTGCACACCCTGCGTACTCTCTGAAGGGCGACCATCATTTACTTTAATGTGCTGTACTAAGTTTGTACAAAGCTTAATGCTCTCCACAAGCACTGGTAGCCCTTGATTTTGCAAGCAATGAACACGGTTCCACAGTTCCTGATCTAGCTTGAAAGTTGAAAAGCCCTCCTTTTCACTGCCTTTTAGACGGTTTAGTAAGTTCACATTCTCATGCCTGAGAGAATCAACTTCAAGCCTAGTAGATTCCACCTCCTTCCTCAAAGCTTGTTCCACTCCTGTCAACCTCGTTTGCTCCATTTGCAACCTCCTCAACTGGTTATCAAAGTTCTCCAGAGATGTCTTCTTCCTAACTTCCTCGCTAAGTCCTTCTCGCAGTCCATTAATTGTCTTCTCTTGTTCGCTGCGAGTTCTTAGCAGTCTACTAACAGATCTGTGCAATTCCTTGCACTCTTTCTCTTTCTCCTCATAGTTTCTTCTGATGCAATCTCGATCTTCTTCTGCTGCTCTACACCTGTCTTGTAATTCAGCATGATTTCGTTGCAGGTTTTGATTCTCCTCTTTTGCTTCCTCTACTCTTGCACTCAGGTCCATAAGTTGCATCTCTGAATAAGTAATCCTGCTTCTAGTATCTGTATCCCTCTCACTAAAGGAAGAGACTTCCCTTTGAAGGGAAACATTCTGCTCTGCGAGCTCCCTAACCCTATCACGAAGCCTATGCTCTTCAGCCTGGTATTTCTCAAGCTTCATCGACCACTCATTTGATCTTCTGTCTAACTCCTTCTCCAATGCTGCCTGCAACTCATTCTTTTCCTTCTCCAATCTCCGAGTACGTGAGTCCAGTTCTGCCCTTGCCAGTCTAAGTTCCTCCCTGGCTGTAGCCCTCTCAGCAATTTGATCCCGTAGGCTGGCTGAAACCTCAAGTGCCATGTTTACCTTCTCCTCCATTAATCTTCTAATCACATGAATCAATGCTGGTTCACTGAGCTCAATATCTCGAAGGAAGTTCTCATGCTGAAGCTCTTTGGAAACAAACATGGCCCGCTCATCAGCTTTCTTGGATTTTCCAGTTAACTCAGCATCCATATCCTCTTCAGCCTCAACCAAACTTATAATTCCACAATTATCAACAGAGGAACTAATGCGTTCCAGGAAACCTGAGATTCCTTCATGATGATAACCATTACTGGTTTCATCAGGACCATGATCATCCAGTGTATAATCTTGTTGAGAATCCCCATCAGAATATGAGAGAGGGCCACTATTTAAGGATCCGCCATAGATATCTTCAACTGTGATTGGAACATCAGGATCAAATTCTTTTGAATTAAAATTGTGCAAACCCCGAGTCTGAGAAAGTCTCTCAATGACATGCTTTGCAAGTTTCCGAGGAGATTCATTCCCAAATCCGTTCTCCACCCAGTCTCTCGATGATAAATAAGGTTTTGATCCTTTAGTTTCTCTAAATGAATCAGACTTTGGTTTCTGTTTCCTACCATCTGTTGGTGAAGCAGGTTCTGTATACTGACCTCGTGGAGTACGCTTTCCACCACCATTTCGATTTCCAAATTGATTTCTGGCACAAGAGTTGTTTTGTAATCTGCCATTTTCCTGCTGATGTTCCCCATCAATATAACGATCCAGAACATTAATTGAGACATTACTAGAGCTATATGAAGAGTTTTCAGATGCATCATAGTGAGCTCTTGAAGCAGGAAAGCAGCCTAGATTCTCTACTCTCTGTGCATTTTGAACAGCAGCCGCTTCAAAGCATTTTGCCTTGGGTCGCCTCTCAGGAGTAAGGGCACGACAACTGACACAAGCAACAAGACTAGTAGATTTAATTCAAGAAGCAATAGTTTTACAGGTTTATATTTGTGAGAAGATACACAAACATGTGTGCCCTATGCTTATCACTGCATAAAGGGTTAAAAAATGAACACCTGCAATTGCGTAGTCACAAAACAAGCCAATTAAATGCCTACCGAGATGAGTGGCGACCCGGTTGCTTGAGGGGAATATTACTGCTACTACTACAAGGAGACCCACTTGGATTGCTCAAATTCCTTTGTCCTAGTCCACCATCATAAATGGATCCTGAGGAGAAGGAAAGGCTCCTTCTAAGACACGGACTGGTACCAAATTTCTGGGTTTCAGATACATGTTTTTTTGTTCTAGCCATGTTACAGTCTGATGGTTTCTCAGAATAGACTTGCTTATCTGTTGATGGTGGTGGAACCTCAATCTCGTTTCCACAGCCGGATGAAGATGATCTGAAAAAGAAGAGCTTCTTCATCATTGTGTCTTCAACTCCCACGTTTTATGTCCACGCTCAAATCATGGAAAGTGCTCCTCTGAAAAATAGATCACAAACCTTAATGAGGTTGCTAAGACCTGGAGAAAACCAAAGGAAATACATAAGCAAATGAATCACGTTTCAGACACCAAAGCATACATCAAGTTTAAGACGCCAAAACATACATAGTTTCAGCCTATTTAGATTTTACATATACAGATGTGCAGAATCTTAAAACAACTGATAAGAATCCAGTTCACAAGAGGGTGGTTTGGGGGGAGAGAGAGTTTTTTTGCTAAGAAGACAAGAAATTAACAAACAGAAGAAAAAAAAATCCATCCATAATTCCAAAAGTTGCATAAGCCTTCTATGGCATGTAATAGAAAGACCAAAGTATCAAAACCAAAAAGGAATCTGTTCTCTGTCAGTTACAAACAATTGAACTAATGCTTCAATAATCTTAAGTTCAGATACAAAGAGGAATCATTCAGACTAGTGGAGCAGAACAGAATAAAGATAAATAGAAACACACAGAATGAAAGGAAAAAACAAACAGAATAAATCATTGTAAATGCATAATAAATGGTTTGGCATGATATGGAGCCTAAGAAGGCAATGAAGAAGGAGAATATTTCCCTCTAATAACAGAAAACAACTTTCTTTGTTTGGGTGTCTGGGAAAGGATGAAAAAATAGTTACCACTTGAAAAGAGATAGCTAGTAGGGAATTTCAAAGCTCAATCCAAGCACCACATATAAGAATGGCACAATCGAGCCATTCACGAAAGGAAATTACATATTAAAGTTCTCATCAAATAAGTCGTTATGGAAAAGAAAAAATATGCAGCAATTTTAAGTACTTCACTTCACACCTGTTCCACAACATATTCTTCTATCGGATCCGAGAGACAATGCAAAAAACATTCAGAAAGAAAAATCTGTAAACCTGTTCAACAGCCATAGACACAGAGATAAGTATTCAACAAGAATCTTTCAAGAACTACATAGAAAGACAGTGATTTGGTAGATTAAGGCTTTACAACCACTAACCCTCCCTTCCTAAACAGATAAGTACAACAAAACATTGAAAACACAACTAAAAAATAAAATATAGATATATTCCTTTTGTAGGTAAACATTATTTATTTGAGCAAGTCATCAGAAAGCAAAGCATTGATTTCAGTAACCTTCTTTTCCGTTGCATAAATCATGAGGCCTTAGAAAGAATCAATCAATGTGTTTCTGACCCCTAATTAAAAACAGTAGCGTCAGAAGTCCTGATTAAGATTAAGCTAATCAGGTGGTCAAAAGACCATATTAGCCACATTCCCCGAAACCCCAATTCTTTAAACCCTAAACTACTACACAGCATAGCAATTCTTAACAAGAAGAAGCCCAAAAACAATCAAATCAAAGGCCTTTCACTGAAAGTAATATCAAGATATCTTCAAAATCGTACAAGTAAAAAAAAAAAAAAGGAAAATAGAAAACCCACCTCCGGTATTCGGTGAATTCTGCTACCTAAAACTCACGATTGTCAAAAAAACATGAAAGAACACGAATACCCACTTCAGTTGAGCGAGTTTCCCTCTGTAGAAATCTATGTTTCTTGATTTCCACCCTCTAAACTATAATTATCTTCACAAATAGCCTAAGGTAAATGACCAAAACTCACAAATGCTCTACTCTTTCTTCACTTTCTCTCAATACACCTCTCTCACACTGAAGTCACCTTTATCCAATTACCATAGTGAAATACAAGGAAACCAGAAGCCAATACAAGAACACGTATAAGAATTCAATGAATTTCCAAATAGATCATTGACCAATTTACCTTGACTGTCGAAAATAGACTACTTTTTTCAGAAACTAAAGTAAATGATTTCCTCGGAATTCAAATTTCAAAAAACAATTGCAACTAATAATTAGTACACACCCGAAATTCTAGGAATCTAGATATTCAACACACAGAAATCCATTTCTCAGTTATACACGCATTTATACGTATGTATATGCATATTATATATACATGCATAGAGAGAGAGAGACACAGAGAGTTACTTCAGATAGTTTGACGGATTACTAGGCCGGCGGCGGGTAAAAAAGTTACCATCTGTGGACTTGATTTCTGAGAATTGAAAGCGAAGCTCTACTCGACAGATGAATGCTTATGATTGGTTTAGAGAAAGAGAGATTCTCTTGCTTCAGTTGGAATAATAACAGACGATTCTACAAAGGGGTAGTTTCGTCCGAATGAAAGAGTTTAAAACTTCGATGCCGCTTATATGGCGGAGGAGGAGCATTTTTTTTCTTTCTCTATTTTGAGGGGAGCGGTGATTGGGAGCGGTCAGGTGTAGTCAAACACGGTGGACTTTAGACTTTTTGTAGGTGTACGTCAACGAAAAAACGGTGATCCATTTGTTAATATTGACGTGATGTCAATAATTAATAATATTAAAATAAATAAATAAATAAATTTCATAAAAATTAATAACTAATTCTTCAAGTAAGCAAATAACTATTTATTCTTTTTCCATATAAATCAATAAATATTCAAGTGGATTCACCTTACCTATTTAATATTTTATTATCGATCGATGATATTATATCAATATTGCTGATATAATCAAAATTTATTTTTTTATATTGTTTCGGCTGCTCAGGAAACATAAACATTATGAAAAAAAGTTTTAGAGATAAAATGGAAGCAAAAAAAAAAATTAAAAAATTATTTTTAAAATATTTCAAAACATTAGTTGAAATATATTCAAATATCTGTAAAATGTTTGATATATTCTAAAATAATTGCTGAAACATGCCGAAAAATCTGGAAACACATTAAAATATAATGAAGCGCAAAAAATAAATTTGGCTCAACCCAAGTTAGGTATCACAATTAAGGGTGATAATTTTTGATACGACGCAAAAACACAATTCGAAATTGACATGAAATTAACGGTTAGAGTTGACCATTTTTCGATGTAAACCCGTAAATGAAAAGACTCGTTAACCTGAACGATAAATGAGTCGAGTTAATATCAAACACGAAAAATACGAAATTAAAATGATTAATACGTTTAACTAGTATTATTTAATTTTTAGTATATTTTATTAAGTAGTGACATTACTCGACTCTAACACGATTGTCATCCCTAATCCCAATGTACAAACTCAATTTGAATCCAATTTTAATTCACACTGTAACCCAAAGTTAATCTATAGTCAATAATCTAAATATAAGTGATACTCAAAGTCAAAAGATATATTTGAGTTAAATTCAGGATTGAAATTGGAATGAAAATTTTATAATTTACTTGGGCTTGAGTTAAGCTCCCAACTGCCTCAATTACACCTCTGGAGCGTCGATCGTGTTCGTGTGATCTGCATGTCATATTATTTGTGTTATGTTTATGTCAAGACCTACAAAAAAAATATTATATATAATGTGTTATGAGTATTAAATATTAGTCTAGACTATTTATTATGAATATTTAATAATTGTATCGATTTTATAATCGTTCATGTCGAGTTCATATCAACGAGTCAGAATTGACCCCAATCTACAATAACATGATTAGTATAATCAATCCAATTATGATTAACTAATATTTGATACAAGCTTGAAAATAATTTGATATCCCCACCATCAATTCCAGCTTAGATTGTTTTTGTTTCAACAATTAGTTAAACCGACTTTATGTAAAGGTATATAATGTCATTGGGATAAAAAAAAAAAAAAAACAATGGTAGGTGTTTGTCTTTCATCACACATCATGATGCTTAGATTAATCATTGAATCTAATGAGTTTATATCTTTTACGAGCTGGGCCACAACAAAACCATTGGGTAATTTCAAATCTCAAGGTAAAAATTCCCTAATGATGATTGATAAGTGATATTTAATACTAGATTGACTTATTAATTCCCTAATTACAATATTAATATTGTGAATTAATGGAGATAAGAATTTTTCGACTTCTCACCTTTTCCATTCAAAATTTTTTGACTTCTTTCCCTTTAAAATGTCTTTTCGTTTTAATTAGCAATTCAGTCTCCAATCTTTTTTGATAGCCATTACATTTTAACACTACCCCGAATTAATTTTTTAACCAATATTTCCTATAAATAAAGACTCCTATAATTCAAATTTTTATCTTGTTAATTCCTATATTTTTCAAGGCTTACAAAAAACACACACATTCACTGATTGCTAAATTTTGAAAAATAAAATCCAATCTAATATTGGCAAATGATGCCAGTATCAAATTAATACTTCAAATAATAGTGTCATTTTTTAAAAATTATCAATAATTTTGAATAACAAATAATAATAAATAAAGTAGAAAGATACATAAAAATAAGATGAAATGACTGTTGCATATATAAAAGGGAGTTAAATAGTCAGTTGGAGATTTTAGTGAAAAATTTGATACTTCTTTTATTTGGTACGAGGTTGAGTAAAGATTAGAGCTTATTTTTAATATGCTTTTATTTAAATTTAAATTTGAGTGAAGGTTAAAAATACAAGCAGAGACACTAACATTTGCTTTGTTTTGGAAAAATGGTATATTTACCTATTTTTCTTAGCAAACTTTTTTTTTTGTACCGATTCATATAGGTAGTTGATATATACAACACTGCACATTAATTATATGAGTATGAAATAGTGTATATACTAGTTATTGTCCGTATCTGAAGGCACAGAGTAATAAAAAAATTGTCAATCATAAACATATTTGTATCACACTTAAAATTAAATCACAAAAATAAAAGAGAGAGAAAAGAATTTAAACACCGATTGTAGTGGTGGGAGATAACGATGGTTGTGGTAGACGACAATAGGTTGTGGTGGTAGTGGTAGTCCCGGGTGGCAACGGTGATGATGGTGGCAGATTTTGGGTGACGATTTGTGGTAATGATAGCCATGGGTGACAACGATGGTGGGTGACGATAGATGGTGGTGGGCAACAATGGTGATGGTAGGTGGTGGTGGTGGACAACGATGGTTGTGGGATGATGGTGATAATGGTAATAAATATAAAAATAAGATGATGATAGTGGTGGATGGTGGCAGTAGGCGACGATGGGGTGGCGATGAAGGTAGTGGTGGTGGGCGATGGTGGTGGTGGTGGTGGTGGGGGTGATAGTGGTTATGGAAAATGTGGTCGCGGGGTAGCGACAATGGTTATGGGGTAACAATATAGCGGTGGCAGTGTTAGTGGTGATTGTGATGGTGATGGTGGTAGGGTGGCAATTGTGGCGATGTTGGTGGTGGTTGTGGCTAGGCCTTTCAAAATTTAACACAACACGATTAACCGACATGAATTGATATGGATTAAACGGGTTTGAGTGAGATCTTAACAGGTTCGGGTGATAAATGGGTTGATCAGTTTAACACGTTTAATAAACGGGTTGTGTTCGGGGTGAGACATGTCAACCCGTTTATCACTTGTTTACCTATTTAAATAAAATTAATATAATAATAAATTAATAATTATTTTTAAAAAAATAACCAATTTTTTTTTTATTAATGATAGCCACAGAAAAATATATAATTTTTCCCTAACCCTAATTCTTTCTACCCTGAACGCCTGAAGCCCTGTTGCACCTCCACCACTCTTCTGCTCCTCTCTCTCTCTCTCTCTCTCTCTCTCTCTCTCGTTCGCTCACTCGACATCAACTTAGCGAGCTACAAGCAGTTGCCAGTTGGTGTCTTGTACTCTTGGGCCAAGCTGAGTCTTGGCTGATGATGAAGGCTGTATTCCGAGGCTGGCTTTGAGGTAATCAAAGCGGTTTTAGGTTTTGAACGGTTTGTTCACCGAGTTTTTTCCATTCAGAATGTGATTTACTTTGTTATATGTTGACTTTATGTGTTCATTATTTTTTTGCCGATTATGTTGTTGGATCTGCTTCTTTTTGGTTTGGTGTACTATTTTTGTTCGGATCTGTACGAGTTTGAGAATTTCTTCTAGTGATAAGATCATATCCCTTGCAAAATAACTTGTAAATAGTTCAGTTGAGTAAGGTTTTGGCGGATTTACATTTTTCTTACGTACATTTTTTTATCTCTAAATTTCTGTTCACTAGGCATTTATATAAATTTCTTTATATTCTTCTGGTGATAAATTTTTGTATATTCTTTTGGTGATAAATTTCTGATTGAGAGACATGGGTTGATGGTTTACAAAGTTGAGATTGAGTTGGATTCTCTTGTGATGGTTAATTCTGTTTTGGGTATTTTGCAGTGGGCTTGGCCTTGTTTGGTTTTGCTTGATCAGATTAAGAGGCTTTTGTGTAAGATGGATTATAGAATAGTTCATGTGTATAGAAAGGCTAATGGTGTGGCTGATTGCTTGGCAAATATAGCTGTTATGTAGGGGATTTTTCTGGTGAATTGAAATTGTCTGCTGCTGTGAGTTTTGCATTGCTCCAGGACCAATTGAGGTTACCTGTTGTAAGGACCAAGAGGACTTTGGTTTTTGATGATAAAGGTTGAAATTGACTTGTTGTGTTTTTCTAAAAGAAGAAGGCATTGGTCTTTGGTATCGAATAAGAGTTCTACTTCCTATTAGATCTGCATAAAGTGGTCTTGATGAGCGATGTTGATTTGCTGTCTGTTGTTGTTGCTGATGATTTGATGCTAGGTGAATACATAAATGCTATGGTGCTGTTGTGCAGTAACATGGATCATTTTTGGCCAGAATTGTGCCTGTAGGATGAGCTTTTGTTCAAAATTTATATTTTGAAGGATGAAAGTCATTAAGTTGGTGTGTAAATATGGTTTGTTCCCTTTGATTCTTGTAATTTTTTGAATTATATTCAATAAATTTTTGGTTGTTTTTTTTAAACAAACAAGTAAAGGGTAAAACGAGTTTAACGGGTGGTTTACCGTGTTAATTCGGCCCTACCCAACACGACTCATTTAAAACTAAACGGGTTAAACGAGTCATGTTGTGTTATCCATTCATTAAATGATTCGTGTTTATGTTGAAATTTTTCAGCCATTTAATAAACTTGTCGTGTATAGGTTTACATGTTTTTCACCCATCACCCATTTAACC